TGCGAAGAATCCTTGACACGATCTCGTACCATGTTACAATTCCACGGAAGAGTTAGGTAGAATCGTGCTCAGGGTTGATCGCAGAAAAATTATGTAGCAGAAGTGATCGCCACCTGTCAGAGTGAGTCTAAAATGACAAAAGTGACTATAACAAGCAATTACATAGGTTTATATGACATTACATAGGAATACGAAACGACCTAGCTAGCCATGTACTCTAAGGGGTACATTCCCTTAGTACATCAAGATTCAAGCGTGCGGCGTGGGAACCCGTTTCAAAACATGTTCCGGCCTTTTACCATTCGAATGTTTCTTGTGAAAACAGAACGAGGAAAATGATTGCATTGAGCAGAATGAGGAGTACAAGTAGGAAACCCTAAAGTGTTGTACCCCATATGAACTACCCTACTACAGCCTACACAGACCATAGCATATAAGTTTGACACACCCCCATAGGCATAGTGGGAGAGAACAAGAGGTCACAAGACCAGTCAAGAAAAGCAAAGGAAGCTCAGGCTGGATCACGACGTCACCACGCATTCTGAGCACAAGCAAATGGCCACAAGGCCAGTTCACATACAGATTTATATACAGTGATCATAAACCTAGCAAGTGTAAGCATGCAGGTATATGTATAGAGATCACAGTACAAGCAAAGTCAAGAAGTAAGCAAGTGAGGCCTAGTGGGCACAAGGCCTAGAACAGTACAGAAACGCTGATGATCACAAGGCTGAAGTGCCTTGGTGAAGACATCAGCAGCGTTGGCCCGAGTGGCCACGTAAGCAAGACGAAGCTGACCACGCTACTGCAACTCTCGAGCAAGGAAGTAGCGCAGAGCGATGTGCTTCGTCCTGTGCTCCAGTCTGTGCTCCTGACACAAGGCAATCATGGCCTTGTTGTCGACGTACAGCACTGGAGGAGAACGAGGCGAATCTCCCAGGTCGGTCAGCAGGTAGGTGAGCTAGCGTAACTCCTGTGCAGCCATGGCCCCTGCGTAGATCTCAGCCTCACAGCTGGAGCTGAGAACAGAAGACGAGCGGGTAGACCGCCACGAAACAGAGCCGGAGCCAAGGCTGAAAGTGTAACCCTGTGACGACCGCTGCGTAGCCAAGTCGTCAGCCCAGGAAGCGTCTGCGAGACCAGTGAGGACAACTCGAGTCCGTCCTCCAAGCACAAGCCCCATGCCCGACGTACTGCAAAAGTAGCGCAACACCCTCTTAGCGGCATCCATGTGCTCCTTCCGGTGTCTCCCAGGAGCGACATAGCGTGCTAGAATGCTAAGAGGGTAGGCAAGGTCAGGTCGAGTGCAGGTCATCAGGTACATGAGGCAGTCCACAAGCTCTGGGTACGGACCACTCGGCTCTACGAACTCGTCCGAAGGTGGAGCTGAGAGCGAGTGGCGAGTAGGCAGAGGAGTGGGCTGTGGCGAGGAGTACGTGAAGCCGAAGCGCTGAAGGACCTGCTGCACCATGTGTGACTGAGTCAAGGTAATGGTGCACTGTGCTCTGTCCCGGGTGATCCGCAAGCCAAGATAGCTGCGCAGCTCACCCAGGTCTGTGCACGTGTGTCTCTTCTGCTGCTCCGACTTCACGTGGGCGAGTCCCTCAGTGTCAGCAGTAGCAAAGACCAAGTCGTCGACGAACACGAGGACGTAGAACGGCGGCAGAGAGGTGTCGGTGCGTAGAAACAGCGACGGGTCAGCAGTGGAAGGAGCAAACCCAAGAGCCGCAAGGGTCGTCCTCAGTGTGTCGTGCCACTCACGGGGCGCCTGGCGGAGACCGTAGACTGGCCGCCGGAGGCTCCACTGGGTACCAGCAGGAAACGACCCAATGAAGCCAGGTGGGCGGCGCAGCCAGATCTCCTCGTGCAGGCTGCCCTGTAGGAAGGCAGTGCTGAAGTCAAGAGAGTGAAGCTCGTAGTCACGCTGAGCGGCGACGTGCAGCAGAACCCGAAGAGTGGTCATCTTCGGGGTGGGGGAAAAGGTCTGGAAGAAGTCAACTCCCTCTCGCTGACTGAAGCCTCGTGCAACGTAACGCGCCTTGAAGACAGGCGGAGAACCCATCGGCCGCTTCACCCTGAAAATCCACATGCCACTGACAATGTTTGCCCCAGGTTGGGGAACCTCGTCGACGTAGGTGCCTGTGGACTTCCAGGAAGCCATCTCTGCGTCCATGGCTGTCTGCCACTGACAGGAGTAGGGACCCTCTATCGCCTCTGCGTAGGAGCGCGTGGTGGGGATGTCTGGTGCATCCGGGTCTCCCTCAGGTGCAAGCATCATGGACACGAGATGAGGTAAAGCAGCGGCAAAGCACTCAAACTCCTCCTGTCTGTCCTCAAGGACGTCCGTGCCAAGAGCACACTCACCCCCGACGGACGGAGGACAGACAGACTCATACTCAGCAACAAGACTAGCGGCGTAGTCTAGACGACAGGCGGCAGCAAAGCCAACAAGCTCAGCAACTAGGGCAGACGCAGCAGTGGACGCAAACGAAGGGTCAGTGACAACAGTGGCCAGGAGACGCGTGACAGTAGGACTAGCAGCACGAATGGAGTTAGACTCCGGGTCCGGACCTTCAGCAAGGGAGGACGCAGGAGGAGACGGCAGAGGGACACGCTGTGGAGCAGTGGAAGGACGAAGTGCCATCTGGTGTGTGCCGGGGACAGCAGGAGGACGCTGACGCGGAACACGACGACCAGTGCGGACATCGAGAACAGGCGAAGCAGGACGAGAATCAGGCGACGCAGGACGAGACTCAGGCTCACGACGCTCCGTAAGACCTCTAGTCGGCCCAGTGTAAGGAGAGGGACCAGGCAGTGGAGAGGCTGGCTGTAGCTGCGACTGCGACGGGACAGGCTGTGGACACAGTAAGGGAAGAGTGGGACCAGTAGAAGGCGGAAGGCCAAGAACCTGCTGAAGAAGTGGAACGAAGTACGGCCGCGGCCGCGCAGCGCCTCCAGAACCAGCAGAGACAGCACCAGCACCCCCAGCTCCAAGGGCTCCAGCTCCAACTCCCGCAGCACCACCAGCTCCAGCACCTCCTGTAGCTCCAGCTCCAGTAGCACCTCCAGCAGCAACAGCACTAGCGCCTCCAGCTCCAACTCCGGCAGCACCACCAGCCCCAGCAGCTCCAGTACCTCCAGTACGAGCACCTCCGGGACCAGCGGCTCCAGCACCTCCAGCAGCTCCAGCACCAGCAGTACCTCCAGCAGCTCCAGCAGCTCCAGCTCCTCCAGCAGCTCCAGCACCAGCAGTACCTCCAGCAGCTCCAGCTCCAGCAGCACCTCGCTGGAGTCTCCAGCGGCGAGCAAACCACTCGCGCAGCTCCGGTGGAGAGAGAGGCTCCCGCCGAGACGAGGCACCTGCAGGAACTCCAGCAGACTCAGCACCCCCAGTCTCAGCAACCGCAGGCTCAGCACCCTCAGGCTCAGCACCCCCAGGCTCAGCACCCCCAGGCTCAGCACCTCCATGCTCAGCACCCCCAGGCTCAGCACCCCCAGGCTCAGCACCCCCAGGCTCCGCACCCTCAGACTCAGCAACCCCAAGCTCAGTACCCCCAGACTCCACACGCTCAGGCTCAGCACCCCCAGGCTCCACACGCTCAGGCTCAGCACCCCCAGGCTCCGCACGCTCAGGCTCAGCACCCCCAGCAGCACCACCCCCAGTAGCAGCACCAGAGTCAACCGCTACCTCGACAGGCTCGACAGCGTCTACCTGGGACACACCTGAGGGAGCAGGACCCTGAGGGGGGAGAGGGTCTACCGGAGGAGGACCTGGTGCAAGGAAGAGCGGCGGGGGGGGGAGAGAAGCAGTGCGGTAGGGGAAGAGACGGTAAAAGGGAACCGACTCGTCGAACGTGACGTCCTGAGAGGGCAGGACACGGCGCGAGGTGGGGTGGTAAAACTGCCAGCCAGGCGTGTCAGGGACAAAGCCAAGGAAGACGCGGGGAATAGCACGGGCGGAGAGCTTGTCCGCGGTAGTATCGCGGACAAAGGCACGAGAACCCCAGACCCGAAACACTGACGCATCGCCAACCTTCCCCGTCCAACGCATTGTGGGCGAGGTCTCCGGCAAGGAGACACGGGGCCAGAGGTTGAGCTGATGCGCAGCGTATCGGACTGCAAACGGCCACAGAAAATGGGGGGGCAGCCGCATGGACCATGGAGGTACGAGCGACCTCCATGACTAAGCCAATGCGGCGCTCAGCAATCCCATTCTGCTGCGGTGAGGCTGGGAGCGTGAACGTCTGGCGAATGCCCTTCCCACAACAAAAGTCCCGCAGAAAGTCAGAGGCAAACTCACCACCTCTGTCAGAGTGCAGACGCAGGACGGGAAAGTCCGTCCCGAACCGCTCGTGGAGCGGGAGACGGGCATCGCGGATCCAAGGGATCAAAACATCAGGGACCTCACCCTTGGTGCGCAAGGGGAAGACCGTGGTGTAACGCGTGTAGTCGTCAACGACCAGCAAAAAGGACCGCTCGCGGTCCTGTCCACGAACGCGGGCTGGGCCCCACACGTCCATGTGGAGGGTCTGCAGGGGAGCAGTCGTCGGGGGAAACGAGGAGGAGTGAGGAGCGGCGCGCTGCCGCACTGGTCGTCGTGTTCCGCGTCAGCGTCCTTCTGCTGTCCCCGGCACACACCAGATGGCACTTCGTCCTTCCACTGCTCCACAGCGTGTCCCTCTGCCGTCTCCTCCTGCGTCCTGTCTTGCTGACGGTCCGGACCCGGAGTCTGACTCCCTTCGTGCTGCTAGTCCTACTGTCACGCGTCTCCTGGCCACAGTTGTCACTGACCCTTCGTTTGCGTCCACTGCTGCGTTTGCCCTAGTTGCTGAGCTTGTTGACTTTGCTGCCGCCTGTCGTCTAGACTACGCCGCTAGTCTTGTTGCTGAGTCTGAGTATGAGTCTGTCTATCCTCCGTCCGTCGGGGGTGAGTGTGCTCTTGGCACGAACGTCCTTGAGGACAGACAGGAGGAGTTTGAGTGCTTTGCCACTGCTTTACCTCATCTCGTGTCCATGATGCTTGCACCTGAGGGAGACCCGGATGCACCAGAGACAAGGACACGTCGGTGCATGCCACGAAGGCGCTGCACCGAGGGGTGACCAAGACGGTGGTGCCAAAGGTCGGTCTGGTGCGACAACGCGCGACATGAGCAGGGGGCCGCTAGCTGACCTGACGCAAACGCAGACGCAGACGCAGCTACATGAGGGGACACAGTAGTCAGTGTGTACAGACTCGAGCCAGGCGCTCGGGTGAACGTGGCCAGGTGCCGACCTGTCCGGGAGCACGTACAGTGGGTCACACTCTGACCTCCAGGAGTGAACTGGTCAACCCACACATCCTGGAGGTCAGCTCCACTCACCAAGTTCGTAGAGAACGAGGGGAGGTGAAGACCCGACAGTGATCCAGACGGGACCGCCAGACACGGCAGGACCGTGGAGGAGTGCGCAAGGACTGGGCCCCCAGAGGGGTCCGCGAGGGAGACTGCAACTGGCCGACTGAGTGGCGTGAGTGTGGTGCTGTCGCGAAAGAAGGAGCGGGAAGCACCTGAGTCAAGTGTGAAGGTGTGCAAGGCCTCAGTAGGCGAAGTACCAGAGAGAGCAGACTCACCAGCACCTAGAGCAGTAGACTCTATACCTGGGTCAGGCGGCACACACAGGTAACAGTCACCCTCAGCACTAATAGTCACAGCATACATGGCAGCAAGGATAGCATCATAGTCAAGAGCAAAGATAACAACATTCTGCCTAAGCAGATCAGCCCAGCTAGGGAGCTCAGCGGCGTCAGGAAACTGTGCGCGCCAGGCGTCAGACAGGCGACCGAAACAGCGCTGCGGCATGTGTGGCAGGCCGCACGTCTCCCCACGGCGCCCGCCGGTGCGGAGAACGTAAGTGCAGGGACCAGCACCCCCAGACCTCCCACGCCCAGCGTACCACTCACGAAGCTGCTGGGGCAACGGGGTCTCACGGGAACGCGGCTGCTGCTGGCGCTGGCTACCGCCGAAGCCTCCACGCTGTGCGGCTCCACCCCGACCAGCACCACCGCCGCCGCCACCTCCAACTCCGCTGCCACTGCCTCCACCACCGCTGCCGCTGCCTCCACCACCGCTGCCGCTGCCTCCACCACCTCCACCGCCACCACCGACGCCCCCACTCCCGCCACCACCCTTGCCTCCACCCCCACCCCCTCCGCCTCCTCCACCGCCACCACCGCCGCCCCCGCCGTCCCCTCCACCACCCTTGCCCCCCTTGCCCTTGCCGTAGCGGCGCCTCCCACTAGGAGCAGACGCAGCCCCGACCTCCTCGGTGCCAACGAGGTCGACAGCAGCAGCAGAAGCAACAGAGGGCAGAAGGGGAACGGGGGGAACACCCCTCAAAGTAAGGGGCGCGAGGGTCGCCGCGAGAAGCACCTACAGCAACTATACTCTTCTCAGCTGCAGTGAGGCGCTCCTCTAGCAGGTCGACGGTGAGCTCGGTGGGGCAAAGGGAGAGAAAGTGGTCCCTGACTGAGCAAAGGGAGTCAGGGAGACGGGTGACTAGGTAGAAGAGGGTGATGTACATGGGGGGGGGTTCTTGGCGCAGAACTCGGAGGGAAGTGCAGCGCGGTAGCGGGCGTCACTAGTACGGAGGTGAGTAATGAGGTCAGCGACTGTGGCAAAGGCGGCCAGGTCAGGGAACAGGTACGGTAGCATGAGGGGGCTGAGGGTAGCAGTGGCAGGGGAGGAGTAGCGCGCTACGACAGCGTCATACAAAGACTTAGCAGTCTTGTACTGGCCAAAGTGCGTGCGCTCAGCAGAAGGCAGGTGACTACGAACAGCAAGGCGAGCAACAGCGTCACGAGTAGTCCACTGCGAGCGAACTGTACTGTCAGCATCGGCAGCAGGTGCAGCAGAGGCGCCGGACGTGAGATAAAAAAGCGAGACTCCGTCCTTAGAATCGCACTGAAGAAAGAGCTGCAGATCATCTACCCAGACATTGAAGTCAACTTCACGACCCTCAGCATCGAAGGTAAGAACTGTAGGGCTAGCCATGGCGGGTAGTAGCAGCAGTGGCATCAGTAGCCGCAAGTAGCAGCAGCAGAAACAGCAGTAGCAACAGGAGCAGCGCGGGCAGGGAAGCGCGGCTCAGTAGGGCAGTGTGGCGCGGCTCGGTAGGGCGGCGCGGTTCGGCCTGGGCGGCGCGGCTCGGCTGGGCGGCGCGGCTCGGCCGGGCGGCGCGGCTCAGCTGGGCGGCGCGGCTCGGCAGGCAGGCAGGCGCGGCTGGCGCAGGTAGGGCAGGTGCGCGGGTAGCGCGGGTAGGGCAGGTGCTCACCAGGGGCGGGTAGGTCAGGTGCCATCGGCGGCGGGTAGGGCAGGCGCGCGACAGGCGCGGGTAGGGCAGGCGCTCGACGGGCGACGGCAGGGCAGGCGCTTGACGGGCGGCTGCAGGCGCTCGACGGGCGGGGAGGGCCGGCGCTCAAAGGGCGGCGGCAGGGTAGGCGCACGACGGGCGCGTAGGGCGGCTGCAGGTGCTCGACGGGCGGGTAGGGTCGGCGCTCGATGGGCGGCGGCAGGGTGGGCGCACGACGGGCGCGTAGGGCAGGGCCGCGACGGCGGCTGCAGGCGCTCGACGGCAGGGCCGCGACGGCAGGGCCGCAACGGTAGGGCCGCGACGGCAGGGCAGGCGCTCGACGGCGCACAGCAGGGCAGGCGCAAGGGCGCAGGTGAGGCAGGCGCGAGGCGCGCGACGGGGCAGGCAGGCGCGGCAGCTCGCTTCGGGCAGGGCAGGAAAAAAAAAGTTGTGGTGGGCCCTAAAAAAAATCGTTCCCACTAGGGAACCTGCTCTGAAACCATGTGAAAACAGAACGAGGAAAATGATTGCATTGAACAGAATGAGGAGTACAAGTAGGAAACCCTAAAGTGTTGTACCCCATATGAACTACCCCACTACAGCCTACACATACTATAGCATATAAGTTTGACATTTCTGCCCGCATCGGTCTTCATCTGACAACTGTGTTTGTCAGTTCGGTTTGCGTGACTCCTCGACTTCGTACTCGGTAGTGCTGGCTCCTGTTATGTTCAGGAATGTTATTGACTTGACTTCTTATTGTAACAATTATAAATACATCAAATTGTAGTTCTTGTTACTTTGTTTCAATCGAGTCGAGATGGTAGTGATTCGAGATTGAAATCTTGCTGTAGTTGGTAATGAACGAGTCCCTGCCAGCACTTGCTGTCACTTGGCGGCAAAATTTGACTGTTTGACCCTGTTTGATATGGCCCACCGAGCATTCGACTTTCCGAGACTGTTTGCGCACAACAAATAAGGTCCTGTTGCGACAAGAAATTCCTTGTTTGAAAGTGAACGAATGACTAGAATGAGGGCATACAGTTGGGATGTGTAACAACCCATGCCCTCTATAGCACAACCCAATCTATCTCACAAGAACGCGTGCAAATATATGTATGTGTACTTTGGCACACCCCTTGGCTTGGTAGGGGCAGTGCCAGGGCGAAGAGAAACAATGCAGGGCGTCACTACTTGTCCAGCCTTCGAGGAAAGAGGCCACAAAGCAAGAACAACAAAGTGTATGAGGTACAACTCAGGGAGGTACCACTAGCCCAGCCTCTGAGACAAAGGGCCACAAGGCCAGTCAATAAGTATAAACAGACAAGAACAAACCAAGTACAGTGTACAGAGGTCAGGATCCTAATAAGTGAGGTCCTAATGCGACAAGACCAAGCTGTGTGCAGAACTGCTGATGATCACGAGGCGGGAGAGCCTTAGTGAAGATATCAGCGGTGTTGGCCCCTGAGGCCAAGTGTACTACGCGTGCCTGGCCGCGTTGCTGCAGCTCACGCAGCAGGAAGTACTGCAGCTGGATGTGCCTCGCTCTGCCCTCTAGTCTAGGCTCCTAACACATGAGGATCAAGGCCCTGCTATGAGCGATCAGGACCGGGAAGAGCTAGGCAGCTCACCTAAGTTAGTAAGCAATAACGTCAGCCATCAGAGCTACTGAGAAACCATAGAACCAACATAGATTTTTGCCTCATAGCTGGACCGTGCCACCGACGACGGAGCGACGTGTGGACCTCCACAAGATATATCCGGCGCCAAGGCTGAATAGCAGCCCCAAGAGGATATGGAAGTCTCGATGTCTCCTCCCTACGATGCAAAAGTGTGTCCCGTGAGTGCAACTAGCTGTCGTTTGCCGAGCACAAGCCTCATGCCTGATGTACTAGCCAGATTACCGCAACACCCACTTAGCAGGCGACCAGTGCTTTAGGTCGGTGTCTCCGAGTTGCAACAACGCAAGCAAGGATGCTGAGAGGATATGCGAGGTTTGGGCGGAGTGATGGTCATCAGGTACATGAGGCACCCCACAAGCTTTGCATATTGACCACTGAGCCCAATAGGCTTGTCCCTGGTGATCTATAGGCAAAGATAGCGGCACAGCTCAACCAAGGTCAGTGCAGGTGTGTCTCCTCAGCAGCTCGACCTTCATTGAGGCCAGGGCGACTTAGTCAGGAGTAGCAAAGACGAGGTCGTCGACGTAGATGAGAATGTAGAACCGAGTAGACCCAAGGAGAATAATGAGAGACAGGTCAGCAGAGGACGAGAATAACTGGAGGTCAGCGAGATTAGTACGTAGCATGTTTTTGCCACTCACAAGGCGGCTTGCGCAAACCGTTAAAGACCATCGCAGGCTCCACTGTGTATAGCCGAGATTTGGGTTTCTGCTTGTTGGTTGTGTATGTTCTCTCATTCCTGTAGCTAGTGTAACATTCATACCTCAACCATTCTAAAGGCTAGACTTCTAGACGAGCCAGTATGTCGGCGTTGGAGAGTACTTGGCGATCCCACCGTTCGATCAAAACTACTCCCGGTAGTTCGAAAGCTCGTCAGCAGAGCATGGTGATAACTACTCCGTACCCGACTGCACCTCCTGCTCCTCCCACTCCTCCAGCCCCGCCTGCACTGCCGCCGCCTCCTGCGCCCCCATCACCTACCCCCTTGTCGTCGATTACCCTCCTGTCCGCACGCAACATCGTACACCTTGCCATAGTGCAATTATATATGCAAGTGACGCACTTAGTCTTAGTACTAACCATAGGGCAGATAACGCACTACTCTTAGTACCAACTATTTGTGTAAGTAATGCACTTACTCATAGCACCAACCACATGGGAAAGTGATGCGCTTACTGTTAGTACCGACTATATGGTCAAATGACGCACTTACAATTAGTACCAACCAATGAGCAAGTAACATACTTTCTATTGGTATCAACCATATGGGAAGGTAACGTACTTACGTTTAGTACCAACCATATGGGCAAGTGACGCACTTACTCTTACTACCAACAATATGGGCAAGTAAGTAACGTACTTACTTAGTACCAACTATAAGGGTAAGTAAAGAACGTACCCTTTGTACCAGCCATATGTATAAGTAACGCCCTTATCCTTAGTGCCAACCATATCGGTAAGTGACACACTTATTCTTAGTACCAAGCATATCGTTAAGTAACGCAAATAGATTTAGTGCGAGCCATATAGGCAAGTGACACACTTATCTTAGTACCAGCCATATGTGTAAGTAACGCACAAATTCTTAGTACCAACCGTATGATACCTACACAACTACTCTTAGTACCAACCTTATGGGAAATTAACGCACCAAAACATAGTATCAACCCATATGGGTATGCGACGCACCTAGTCTGTAGTACCAATTATTTGGGTAAGTGACGCACTTAGTTGTAGTACCAACCATAAGGGTAAGTGACGCAGTTACTCTTAGTACCAACCATATGGGTAAGTGACGCACTTACTCTTAGTACCAACCAAATTGGGTTAGTAGCGCACATCGTGTAGTACCAACCATATGGGTAAGTAACGCAGCTATTCTTGTATCGATGATATAGTAAGTAACGCACATTACTCTTAGTAACAACGGATCTAGTAAGTAACGCACTTACTCTTAGTACCAACTATAA